GTACAATGTACATCGATTTTGCGAATAAAATTACATCCATTGATGTAATATTGTATCTGCGTTTTGCTATTACATCATTATTTCATACATCAGCTTGAATTACGTTGATCGATATTACATTTTTTTTTTGCTGTGTAGATTAGCTTGGGACCGAAGATAGTACCAGAGCTGAGCCAAAAAGTTGAGCTCGTTTCTTCGGGACCTTCTGGTCTTAGACTTACCTCTATGGTTGCAGTGGCTTACTTATTGAGCAGAAAACTCGTGTGACTGTTTTTGCTTACTGAGCAGCCCGAAAAAAAAAAATTCAGTGAAATTTTCAGTAGAAACAATGTTCTTACATTAATATTTATTGTTGACAATAAAAATGATTGTTATAATGTTGTATCCTTCCGAAAACGGCAAAACTGCTACCTAGCTGTACAATGAATGTACATAATAAAATGTCATGAGTCTAATCTCAAGCCCATCCACATTCAAGATTCCTCAATCGTTTCATTTGTTATTATGACTACATGGCAATAACAGCAACTCGATGATTAAAAAGGTACTCGTTTGCCTAGCGGGTGGTGGGTTGACAACCTGGAAGAAGCGGAATACCTAGTCCTGGTCCTCACAAGTTCCTACTTCACGCCTCCCCGAGTCATATGATAACAAAAGACTACCAGCTGAAACATGGACACAGCTGGGTAGCGTAGCCTGGGCAATGTTGCCAGTCCGGCAATAGCAAAGTGAAGAGGTGCGACGCGAACACTGGCGTGGTAACCACATGGTACGGTGATAGAGGAAATGCTCCACCAAACCCGAGCGTCTGTTCACCATGGAGGTGCGGCTCAAAACGGCGTCTTTTCTCCATGTTAGGAGCGGCTGATCACCGTTCTAGCAAAGATGAATACTAAGATGAAACTGTCGGAAGAAAAACTTTCTATTTTAGTGTCCTCTTTCACGGTCCCTTTCATCCAATGAGAACCCCCCGTATTCAAGGTAATTTTGTGGTTTTGCTGCCCCCTCGGAAGAGATGAAATTTTGCGCTCATTTTTATCAAAACAATCACACCAAAATCAGAGATGTCCCATTTTTTAATTACTCGATTAACAACTAATCGATTATTTTTTGTTCGCTGTGCTGCCATTTTTTCACCAATGAGAGTGCAGCACATGTTTGAAACGATCGGTGATGATCCTGTGGAGATGTTAATGCTATATCGGCATGATCTAACCGATTACAAATAGTTTACTTTTCGATTCGTTAATCGATAAAACGATTATTCGAATGAAAATCGGCCATCACTAGATGAATGTGAAACGTCATTTCAAATATAAGGACCGTACATAAATAATGATACAATTTGAAAGGGACCGGGGCTAATCACAAATTACGTCCCCACGGTAACTGAAACAAATACGAGTGTTCACCGGTTGGTTCTAGTGCCAGCTGCTGTGCACGATGGTTCCCCGGCGAGACAGGGGGTTGGGGCAGGCCCAACAAGCCGCCCAAAAAAAAAAAACAAAGTTGTAAATACTGAAGAAAGAAATACGGATCGGAACAATCGGCAAAGATCTACGCGACGAAATAAGGACTACGAGTGAAAACTCGGAACTGCAAATCGCTTGGCTTCCCGGGCTGCGATAGGTTATTCTAAGAGAAGGCGACCTGCGGACCCTTCGCAGAATACGAGGCTGGCGAATTGTGGCCATGGATCGAGTAGAGTGGAGACGACTTCTTCGGACAGCAGAGGACAACATGGCCTTAGCCTGATTGGTAAGGTAAGGTAAGTCGTTTGCCTTACTGAGCAGAAGACCGTGGATCATACTTTTTATATGATCGGTAGGACATCAATTCAGCTTATCGTTTACCAAAACGAACCCTGCTACAAACCCAGCCCTCTTACCCCCAAAATCAGTGCAGAGGGCTCCTCGGCTTCCATCAAAGCTAGTGCCACGTCAACACATTCCTTTCTTGACTTGCGTTCAGGCGCGACCGGCGCTGGTATTGCCAAGTTTTAGATTACCAATTGGGTTGTTAACCTTCGACAAATATACCGATTTTTATACATCATCTGATAGAGCTTCGTTTTCTATGCACAACGATAGTTTTATCGATCCCGTAGATTAGAGATGAAGGATGAACTAGCCTAAGGCTAAAAATCTCTTTAATAAAGAATTTAAAAAAAAATAAATAAAAATAAAAAGATCCCGTAGACATTCATCTTGATTTTTAAATCAAGATTTAAATTTTTGATCGTTGACACTAAATTTATTCGTTGACAGCTCGCTCCCATACGAAGTTTCACCAAGGGGCTCTAAGATGGTGATGTTTGCTAATGTAATGGACCAAAATTGATGAAATTTTGGATTTCGGTTCCATTTTAATGCAGATAACGAATACGTATTTACCTCAATACCCCTAAACAACCCAATTGTTACACATTGAGGATGATTGCTAGTCCCAAGCAACGTCTATTGGTTCTCTGTGTAATTACAGCTGATCTGACAATAACAGAGTAGCAACCGTGGGCGCTCAATCATGCTCATGCTACGGTACCGCTCCAATCAAGCAAAGGCCCATAACCTCTTGGAAGGATAAATAAAGGCAACCGTAGGTGTTGAGTGACTAATGCAGGGCTGCAGGGTTGCTACAAGATTTTCTAAATTTGATCCGCGAAATCCGCGATTTCTCAAAAGAAATCCGCGACTTCAAATACTAATCCGCAACCAAAAAAAAAATGTTTTCATTACCTAAAAATACCATTTGTATACTACTGCATGGCATTTCAAGCTTATTGCTTATAGTATATTAGATTTTTGCCTGTTCTCAACTTAGTGTTCTTTGAGGAACTATCACATATTAATGTGGATCATGCATGAACTATTGTCATGTATACCAGATGTTTTAAGTTCTCCAAACCGTTCTGGAGTTCAGATGATTTATTCTTCTAGATCAACCATGACTGTGATAAAGTCTGTAGGATCGAAACATGTCCAAACAGATTCAAAGTGTCTATATGGATAATGTTTAATTATTTACACGTATACCAGATAATCTAGGTTCTCCAAATCGTCCTGGAGTTCAGATGATTTGTTTTACTAGATCAACAAAGACTAGGATAATATCTGTAGTATCGAAATATCGATTTTTTTTTCCTTTGGTTTGTTTTTTCCGTCGATCTTGTTTTCCGTGCTGAGCACCAATGCTACCGACGTGCCAGGAAGGCAGCTCTCCCACACCTGGACCCTACCTATCGACCCATCAACTAATGAACCGGGGACCAACGGCTTTACTTCCCATCCGAAGGAAGGCGTGATCAGAGATGTTATGCCTCAGAACATCCCGACGGCGCCGACTGGGATTGAACCCAGGCCTGCTGGGGTGAGAGGTAATCACGCTTACCAAATATCGATTTGGAAATCCAAGAACATTTGGCATACACGGAAATAGGTTGGCATGATCCACATAGATACTGCAAATTTGTTTGAGCATATCTCGATACTACAGATATTGAATTAGTCTTGGGTGATCTAGTAGAAAAATAATCTGATCTCCGGAATGATTTCAGAACCTATAAAATCTTGTAAACATAGCAATAGTGGCAATAGGTTAGGTACAATCCACATAGACACTTTGAATCTGTTTGGACATATTTCGATACTACAGACATTATTGCAGTCTTGGTTGATATAGTAGAACAAATCAACTAAACTCCAGGACGATTTGGAGAACCTAGAATATCCGGTATACATGGGAATTGCTCGCATATATACGATTCGTTTATGATTTGACGATGAAAAATGCTATGTTCATATTGGAAAAAAAGGAAAATGTCTCAAATTGGACACATCTCCTCAGGGAATTTCCGTGTCAATCCGGTGTGACTTATGGAATTTCTCGATTATTTGCAGGGTGTTTGGTTTGAGAGCCAAATGAACAACAACATTGATGACACCAAAATAATCCGGGACGGATTAGGTTACAATGAATTCCACAATTTTTGTGATAGCACATTAGTCCCTCACGATTTTCGCGACATCATTTAATGTTTCCGCGATTTTCGCGACTGAAAGTTCAAATCCGCGAAAATCGCGAAATTCGCAAAATCCGCGCCTGTTGCAACAGCCCTGCTAATGCAAACTGTGTTTATTAATATCAATTTATTATCTAGACTACTGGGATTAACTCTGCAGTCGAGTTGCTTCAGCTTTCTCCTTCACTTCTCCGCACCCCTGGGAAGACTCTGGTACTTTTTACAAATATTTCTGAACATCTAGCCAGTTCCCTGAAATTTAGCGAGGTCGTCAAAGCTTCCAGGTAATTCACTGAACATTTTTGAAGTAAGTTCTCTGATATACTGCTATGAAGTTCCTCGAATTTCTACGAAATTCGCTTAGTTTCTATAAAGTTCGTGAAATTTCAACAGAGTTCGACGAATTTCGATGAACTTCTACAATATTCTCTGCACTTCTTCGAAGTTCACTGAAGTTCTATGAAATTTGCTGAAATTCAACAAAATTTGCTGATGTTCCACAAAGCTAGCTAAACCTCTTCAAAATTTGCTGCACTTCTAGAAAGTTACATGAAATTCTACGCAGTCCCTGTACTTCTTTGAAGTTCCTTAAGTTCTATGAAGTTTCATAAAGATCTACGAAGTAACGTTCCATGAATATTTACGAAGGTGCCTGCACTTTTACGTAGTTCTCTAAAATCAAATATTGTTGTCTTGAATTCTATAAATTGCCCTTGACTTCTAAGAAGTTCCCTGAACGTCTGTAAAGACTTAGTTTTATTAATCTGAAATATACAACGCTCCCCCCCCCCCCCCTAGCTCGCTCACCAATTTGAAAAGAAGTGGTGAACACATATAAAGACATTTCGTCGATCTCGTTTAAGGTGGATATTCCTATACGGTTAATCTCGGTACTATGGTTCCTTCAATGCTTCTGCTATTAATATTCTCTCAGATAACAGAAGCCATTCCGCATGCCATTAAATAGATACAATTTATTCATCATAATCAAAGAGCTAATAATCTCCAAACAAGAATAAACAAGAAGTGTCCGCTAGATAGAAACCATCCCGCCCTTACGAGGACCACACATGCACATCTCTCCCCTCAGAAGAACACCCCCTTCATGTTCTGGTCCAATACGCGCTTCGTTTCTTCGCTCACGTCGATCAGCGTGGAACTTTTGTTCAGCACAATGAAAACGTGCCTCGAGTTGCAACTTCTCTTCACTATCCAGTAGTCGTCGTGTGTCTTCAGAATCGTTTCCTCCGTCACGTTCGTCGTCAAACCATCGCCATTCCGCCGCGAATCGTCCAACAGATCAACGATCAAATTCATCACATCATTCGGAATGCTTCCTCCGGGATTGTTTCGCTTTTGAACTCCCAGCTTGATCGTCCCTCGGTAGTGGAGGTTCAGTTCGTTGAAGTAGACAAACTTCGGACTAGTGGCGGAGTCATCCTTGCCAGAGGACCCATCCGGAGATGGTTGCTGTGCTAGGTGTTGCGTTATGTCCGAAGAGATACTAGTCAGCTGGGGATTGATCACGGCGTTCAGTTCGTGGTAAAGAGCCTGTTCGTTTTCGATGTCTTCCAAAAACAGGCAGAGAGTGATGTTCTGCACTTTTCGGCATACCATAAAATTGTAGGCCTTATCGTGGCCGTTTTCCTGTATGTACACCTTACGGGAATGTCCGTGGCCCGGGGTCAACTGGAACATTGGTCCGTTCAAGTACTCGTAGATCGTGTATAGATCATGCGGATTGACTCCACTCCAGATTATGTGATCATCGTAGAGGAAAATGCATTGCTTGATTGGGTCGAAGGTAGCTTCAATCATGTTGATAAAATTTTGAACTCTCAGGAACAATAGTTGGTTCAACGGGAGGTACTGCACACTTCCAAAGGCATCCAACACATCACAGTCTTTCAGCTTCAGGTGGAGAATGTACTTGAAGTAGAACTCTTCCAGCTTGCCAATCAAGTTGGCAACGGAGTCTAGGTCTTCGGCCGGTTTGAGATTGCTCTCAAAGGTTCCGTGGAATAGACGGAACATTCGGTAGGATTGCTTGAGCACCGCCTGGTAGACGGTGTCGTGAATGTCATCACCGTGATATTCGATGTAGTCACCGGTTTCGCGGGTTTTCCTCTCGAATGGAACATTCAGAACCAGTGTCATCCAGTAACCCGGTTCCGGCTGGTGATACAGCTGGCAGGTTTTCTGTGTGTGCATCGCCTGGACACTGTCGTCGTTGGTGAATGTGCTGCAAGAGAACGGTAATCCGTTTCAGGCTCGGTCATCAGTAGTTAATTGCACTTATACGCACCTGCTAAATTTGACGATGGCTTCGCAGAGACCAACATCCTTGACTTTGGAATCGATATCCGTTTCCTGCGGGTGGTAGAAGAGAATTTTCTTTTCCTCCTAGAAATCGACAAACGCACACAATTTAATTAAAGATGGTTTTGAGAGCGAACAGGAAGCACGCGTAATTTACCTCTCCTTCTTTCGGGCCAAAGTTGGAATTGAAGATGAAAAAACTTCGCAGCGACAGAACGGCTTTTATCTCTGGAATGGACATGTTTATTTCTAGTGAAATTTAATAATTTTACGCAAAATTTGTTTCTAATTTAGTTGAGGCGAGTGCGATTAGCAGATTTGTTTACATTTTCTACTAAAACTTTGACGGCTGCAAATTGTGTGTTTGTTTCAAACGAAAGGCCTTTCCTTGCAAGGGGCTCGTAAATGGTTAGCTTACAAATCATGGATTTATTAATTTTATTTTTGATTTAGGAAAATTATGGAAAATTTGAGAACTTTTCCCCCATCTATCAATTAAAGAGGCTAAATTTATAAAGAGACGACACGACAAAATTGAAACAATCGATTATCTGTCATAGGAATCATCATAGGAAAAGTTATTCCAATCGAGCAGAAGAGACCTATATTAGTTGTCGCCTCTTTACCATAGAGGTAACTCTAAGACCACTGGGTCCCGAAGAAAATCATTATTATTTTTGGCTCACTCAGTACCAGAACAACGGTCCCAAGCAGTCCCAAGCTATTTCACTCACCCCTGCATGTTCTGCATGAATCCACACACCCCTAATGTTATCTGTCAAACTTTCATAGCGAATCAAAACAAACATAGTGTAGTAATAGAATTTCAACTAGAATAGGGTACGTTAATCGTTTGCTTGGGACCAATAGGCTACTAAAGTGGTGAGCCAATTTAAAATCGTTAGTTTCGTATTGATTGTTGTCTTTACCCAATTGGGTTCTTTAAGGGTATTGAGGTAAATGCATATTCGTAATCTGCATTAAAAATGGAACCCTAACCCAAAATTTCATCAATTTTGGTACACTGGAACTATATTAAATCAGAACGATTACTTTTGCAAAAATCACCTTACTAGCGCCCCTCGGTGTCACTTTGTATGGGAGCGAGCTGTCATTTTGTCAGTTTAGTGTCAAACAGTGAAGTTATTATTTTGCTTTAAATCTTGGCTTAAAAATCGAGATGAAAGTGTGTGGGTTCTAAAAAAATATCGCTGTGCTCAGAAAACGAAGCTCTTTCAGATGATATATAAAACCGATATATTTTTAAAATTAAAGAACCCAATTGGGTTGTTTAACTTTGAAAAATATTCCGATTTTTATGCATCATCTGATAGAGCTTCGTTTTCTGAGCACAAATATATTTTTATAAATCCCGTAGACCTTCATCTCCATTTTTAAATCAAGATTTAAATTTTTGATCGTTGACACCAACAGGGCTATTTTGCGCGGCGTGTGAGGTGAAGTGATGGTGAAGTGACAATTGTCACCTCGGGTGAGGTGACTCTCCATTTGATTTGCACGGGGAGTCACCTCACCCGAGGTGACAATTGTCACTTCACAAGTGAGAGCGTGTCACCTCACCTCACACGCCGCGCAGAATAGGCCTGCAAGGTGACTACATACAGGTGTTCTAATGTGTCAAATTCATTATTCAGCCATGTTGGATTTTTGTATGGGACAGCGACCGAGTTTGTTTACAATTTGCTCTAAAACCGCACTTTCCCCCCCCCCCGCGACCTCCTCGCCTATATAGTGACAAAGCTGTATCACCATTTGTATACCCACCATGGTTGACACTAAATCTATTCGTTGACAGCTTGCTCCCATACAAAGTCCCACCAAGGGGCGCTAAGGTGGTTATTTTTGTTAATGTAATCGTACCTATTTAAAATAGTTTCAGTGTACCAAAATTGACGAAATTTTGGATTTCGGTTCCATTTTTAATGCAGATAACGAAAATGTATTTACCTCAATACCCCTAAACAACCCAATTCAGTATCGTTACAATCCATATGGTCCTTAAACACGACACGACTCAAGAAATAAATTACAAACAGTCGCCCATTGAAAATCGGAGCACCCCTTCAAAGCGATGATAAAAGCCTTTTTTATAGGATCGGCGGAGGATGCAGAACAGTGGCAGGTCAGCACTGTCAGCAGTCAGCAGCAGAGCAGCTTACGTTCGCACAAACTGTCATCAGACGTGGTCATTGCCGTACCGTTTTCTGCGAGTCGTGTTTTGCTGCTGGACTCGTTTCATCCCAAGCAGTTTCATCTTGTGCGGCGTCCTGCAGATCTGGCCGATTCCTTTCACTTTCCACTGTCGTCGAATCCGAACCTAAAACCCCTTTCGTCGTCATGGAAGGAACGAAAGGAAACTCTCTCCCCAGGGGAACAAGTTCACAGCCGAAAGATGATCTGGACCAGACGCCCATCTTCCTAGCGGTTCTCGTTGTCCTCATTACTCTCAGTAAGTATGCTCATCTAAGCTTTCGCCGAATCCATACTGTTTGTCCAAAGCAATTATTAAAACTTTCGCTATCTTTCCCTCGCATAATTCAAGTGCTCTTGTACGTTTGGAAGAAGAAGCGCACCGCACGATCTGACGTACTACTAATGGGCCTGTGCGATTCGGGTAAAACACTGCTGTTTTCACATCTGATTTTGGACGAGGAGAAAGAAACGTTTACTTCGATCAAGGAAAACGTAGGTTACCTGACGGCCGCCAGCGGAGAGCTTCGAGTGGTTGACGTTCCCGGCAACGAACGACTCCGCGGGAAGTTCTTTGATCAGTACAAAAATTTGGCCAAGGCGATTGTCTACGTCATCGACAGCGTTACGGTGCAAAAGGACGTTCGGGATGTTGCCGACTTTCTGTACACTATTCTGGCAGACAAGGCCACGACAAACCTTCCGGTGATCGTCCTATGTAACAAGCAGGACGAAACACTGGCCAAGGGCGATGGCGCAATCAAGAGTCTACTGGAGAAGGAAATGTAAGCACCTACCATCTGTTTCCCTATTGTGCCAATAAATATCTAACCAAACAATTTTGATTGCAGAAATTTGGTTCGTCAGACGCGAACGAGCGAGCTGCAATCGGTGGACCCGCAGAGTGCCGGCGCAGTTTTTCTTGGCAGATCTGATAAAGATTTCGAGTTCGGTCAGCTTTCGCAGAAGGTGAAACTGGTTGCCTGTTCTGCTAAGGAGTGCCAGCTCGAGGATTTGAATGCATTTTTGGATAGTTTGTAAGGCAGTGTACGTATTTTTGTTTCATGCTTATTAGCATTATTAATTACTTTTAGAATTGTGGTGGGAAAACCTGAGCACCGAGAGCAAGGTTTTCTTTTTTTTTCTGTTCATCTTATTTGTTCGGTCTCTTTCTCTTAATCTTCCATTATGAGTCCAATGTGCTCTGTTGTCGTGAATAAATATTTCGAAGAAATGAAATCTCGCGGTTTTGTGTTAATTAATCTAAATATGTCTCAATTAAAATGTGTTAATTTTATTCTTTATCACTACCGTCTATGCTTTAGCTTAGTAATAGTAGCGGGGTGTCCAAAGTATTCAAAACAACGTTTTTTTGTCAAGAGAATTAATTGAAAGTCCTGCAAAATGATGTTTTTATAGACATTCACCCATATTATTCTTGTTTTGCATATGGAAAAACGGTTGGAACGAAAACAAGAATATCGGTGATGGGGGGCGACCCCGGCGTAGTGGTTAACATCCATACCTCTCACGCCAAAGTCACGAGTTCAAATCTCACCCCCGGACAAGTCACGAATGACCCAAGAGTGTTAAAGTGACTATAATAAAAAAAAAAAAAAAAAAAAAAAAAAAAAAAAAAAAAAAAAAAAAAAAATATCGGTGATTATGTATGATGACATTCACCCTATAATAATAATAATAATAATAATAGCTTTGAATTCATAAAAAAATGTTTGCTTGCTTACACAGCACCCAGAATTGATGTTCACATTGCGCCTAAACGTAGACGGTAAATTTGTAAGTAGGACTCTCTACATCTAGGCGCAACGGAAATCTACTCCAAAAGAGTGGTTGGAGACATTTCCTAAAACGTTGATATCGTCTAAATTTTTTACCTAACAAATCCATAAAAAAAACTATGCTTTGTATACTATTGATTCGGTCCGAGCGCTTCTTTTGTTTTTGGGAATTATGGGTGCAAACCTTCATACCACGCGTTCTCATTGACTTCGTTCGGTATAATTGACTTGTTAACTCAGAAATCGTGGAATAATTTTGTGTTTTCTGCACGATAGGCCCAAAATGGGCGATTAGGCCGAACTAGTTCCCTACCCTATTAGATTTTAAACAATATCTCAACAATTTGTGACTCTTTATCAAATCCAACGTATGGAAAGGTAAATAAATTTAAGCGTCATCTTTGACAGAAAAATTCAATTTTTTTATTCAAAAAAGTGAGGTAAAGCGCGGGTTGTGCTTGGTAGGACGGAAATTAGATCAAAAGCCCTACATGAGTAGCAGTTTCAGGTGAAATGGGGCACCGATTTCCGAGATTTGTGCAATTGGGTTCTTTAATTTTGAAAAATGTATTGTTTTTTATACATCATCTGAAAGATCTTCGTTTTCTGAGAACAGCGATATATTTTTTTCAAACACCCACACTTTCATCTCGATTTTTAAATCAAGATTTAAAGCAAAATAATAGCTTCACTGTTTGACACTAAACTAACAATCTGACTGCTCGCTCCCATAGAAAGTGACACCGAGGGGCGCTAATAAGGTGAGTTTTGCAAATGTAATCGTACTTATTTGAAATAGTTCCAGTGTACCGAAATTGATGAAATTTTGCGTTTGGGTTCCATTTTTAATGCAGATTACGAATATGCATTTTCCTCAATACCCTTAAGGTTCAATTTACACATTTAACCTTACGGTGATTCCTTGTAGAGTCCACAAATGGCCGCCACGTAGGCTATACATGCACTTCCACTTCCAATTTTCAATTGGGTTCTTTAAGGGTATTGAGGTAAATGCATATTCGTAATCTGCATTAAAAATGGAACCCAAACCCAAAATTTCATCAATTTTGGTACACTGGAACTATTTCAAATAAATACGATTACATTTGCAAAAATCACCTTATTAGCGCCCCTCGGTGTCACTTTGTATGGGAGCGACAAAAACTTGTTTTTGTTCATTGGTGGAGCAATTTGCAACACTAACACATTGATCACGACTGCAGCCAAATTTTTGCATGGGTTGCAGTGACCTTGAAACAATATTAAAGAAAATTACAGTTTATTTTATTTGTTTATTTGTTATGGTTGCATCAACAGACTAGAAATAGTCCCAATGATGTGTTGTAAAAAAAAGTACAGATTATACAGACGACATACATATACTACAGTTACTACAGTTACAAACGAAAATAACTTGGAAAGCATTGTCAAGTTACTAAAAATTAAATTTTACACTTAGCTGTTGGGTATCAAGCGCCTTCGGTCAGCAAAAAAGGCAGAGAATCTTCGGCGAAGCATATTCCGTGTCAAGTGGAAATCGAACATCGATGCTACTCGGTTGAACACTAGCTGCAAGCCGTAAATAGCGCTCCCTATGCTATAATTAGTTCGAAGAAGTGGAAGTCTCAGCATAAGACTGTTGCGTAGTGATCGAGGTTGAACATTAATGTTCACTTGTTGCAGAATTGCTTCGCAGTCAATTCTTCCTTGCAGAGTATCGGCGACGATTAAGGCTCTGAAAACATCTCTTCGGATACGTAAGGGCTCGATATTGATCAATTGGCAGCGATTCTCGTAGCTTGGAAGACGAAGTGGGTATCTCCAAGGCAGCTTACGGAGCGCGAAGCGAAGAAAACGTCGTTGAACAGATTCAATTCGCTCGGCCCTATTATTGTAGTTCGGGCTCCAGACAGCAGAGCAGTATTCCAACGTAGATCGTACGAGAGAGCAATAGAGCGATTTCAAGCAGTAAATGTCCGTGAAGTTCTTAGTAATCTTGAAGACAAAGCCAAGCGTTCTGGATGCTTTGTCGACGACATACGATATATGGTGTGAGTATGTCAGCTTTGAGTCTAGAAAAACGCCTAAGTCTTTCACGCAGTGCACCCGTTCGATAGTCGTGCCTAGTAGTTTGTAGTTGAAAATAATCGGTTGTTTCTTGCGTGAGAAAGTAATAACTGTACACTTAGCTGGGTTGACCACCAGTCGGTTTAGACTACACCAGTCAGCACAGATGTCAATCTGATTTTGGAGAGAACGGCAGTCGCGTTTGCTTCCCTTTTTATGAACAGGAAACATATCCGCAGTCTTCCAGCAAGATGGAAAGATGCCGCTGGAAAGAGAGAGCTGGAATATGCGGCGCAGTGGATCTAAAAGACAAGTGATGTTCTTTTTAAGAATAAAGGGTGATACGGTCAAAATTTGGTCAAGGGAAAACGCGTGTAAATCGGTGAAATCGTTTATTTAAAAAATCAAATTAAATTTCTTTTTCAAGTTCAATTAGTATAAAATTCAGGAAAAATATTCAGTTAGGCTTCCGCTTTTCCAAATCCGAATTGCCGGGCCTTACGCTTGACCCCTGCCATCAGATTTTGTACAGCCACCTTGTCCACCTTCTTCGCCGCAGAAAGCCAGTTTGCCTTGAACTGCTGCTCGCCCTTAGCAGTTTTTTTTGGTCTTCTTTAGGTTCCGCTTGACAATAGCCCAGTATTTCTCAATTGGGCGGAGCTCTGGCGTGTTGGGAGGGTTCTTGTCCTTGGGAACCACCTGCACGTTGTTGGCGGTGTACCACTCCATGGCCTTTTTACCGTAATGGCAAGATGCCAAATCCGGCCAAAACAGTACGGAACAACCGTGTTTCTTCAGGAAAGGCAGCAGACGTTTATTCAAACACTCTTTCACGTAAATTTCTTGGTTGACAGTCCCGGAAGCTATGAAAATGCTGCTTTTCAAGCCACAGGTACAGATGGCTTGCCAAACCAGATATTTCTTTGCGAACTTTCACAGTTTCATGTGCTTGAAAACATCTGCTACCTTTCCCCTTCCTTTTGCCGTATAAAACTCCTGTCCCGGAAGCTGCTTGTAGTCGGCTTTGACGTAGGTTTCGTCGTCCATTACCACGCAGTCAAACTTCGTCAGCATCGTCGTGTACAGCCTCCGGGATCGCGCTTTGGCCGTCGTATTTTGTTTATCATCGCGATTTGGAGTCACTACCTTCTTGTAAGTCGATAGTCCGGCTCGTTTTTTGGCTTGATGCACGGTTGTAGACGATACACCCAGCTTATTTGCGGCATCTCGGAGAGAGAGGTTAGGGTTTCGCTTGAAACTACCGGCAACTCTCTTTGTCGTCTCAGCGGCTTCGGGTTTTCGATTTCCCCCCGATCCAGACTTCCTGGCTGTCGACAAACGTTCCCCAAACACTTTAATTACATTTGTAACGGTTGATTTGGCAACTTTTAGCGATTTTGCCCACTTTGCGTGCGAGTAGCTCGGATTTTCGCGATGCGCGAGCAAAATTTTGATACGCTGCTCTTCTTGCTTGGACGGCATTTTGACAACTGAAGAGTGAATTCCAAAATCAAAATAGGAGCAACATTCTACACACACACACCTTCAAAATGAGGGGTGTTCAGGTTTTTTAAATGCAAAATTGAAAGAAATACGTCAAGTTGATATTGACCAAATTTTGACCGTATCACCCTTTAATCGACGGAACACCATCGGGTCCAGCCTTAGTTGAAGTCTTAAGTTTAGATGCTGCTCTAGAAATCGTATCTGTAGTGGCTTCGACCATGCTGAGCGTTTGGTTGATCAAAGGATCATTACTGGCCGCGGAAGTAATGATATTAGTGGAGAGTTGCTCGGCTACAAACACACTAGCAAATTTGGCTGAGAACAGGTTGCAAATGTCTTGTTGATTTCCAGCAGTTTCACCATTAAAAATCATGGAAGAGGGTAAGCCGACTTCCCTGCGTTGCTCATTTACGAAGTTCCAGAAGGATTTCGGGTGTGATTTTAGCCGCCGTTGAATCCTCCTTTGATAGCGTTGAAAACAGAGACGACTTAACCGCTTATACTCGTGGTTGAGTCTGACATAGTAGCATTTCAGTGGCAGTGTGCGGAGTTTAGTAAATCTTCTGAGAGCAGCCTTCTTAGTTCTTTTCAACGAGCGAAGATCTTTCGTCATCCACGGGACGCGAGAGTCGATATTGATGATCTTTTTGGAAACGTGTCTGTCAATGACATATGCCAAGACGTGAGAAAAGGTTTGTGCAGCAATGTTGACGTCTACAGGATCTAGAATATGCTCCCAATCTAGATTAGACAGCACATGGACGATACTGCAATGGTCAGCTCTACGGAAGTCATATGACACAGCGTTTGGAGTGCTGGTGAAATCATGGACAATATTATTTTCGATCACGATAACTAAAGCAGGGT